TCAAGTTTGAATTGATACCTAAACAAACAAATATAAATGAGTTTGGTTCAAGTCGAGTTCAAATCAAGTACCAAACTAGTTGATTCGATTTATAGACCTAGCGTACAGTTAACTACTCCCCTATAAAGGTATTATGAGTGTTTAATGGCTACACGGTTGTATACCTAAATCACACACAACTCATCATATGAATGCGTGAACTAAAAATTATTACTATTTTTTATATTTATATACATTCTTTAATTAACTTTATCTTTTTAAAAATTTAATACCTAATTTATATTCTAATGAGTGTTGAATGGGGGACTTTCATGATCAAATGAGGCCTCATCCGATTAAAACACAAATAAAACTAAAAAAAATAGAAGCCAAATGTTTGGAGAAGAATAGTAGGTCTTGTACAGCTGATTAGTCCTGCTAGGATTTGATTATTTATTTTAAGAAAAATCAATAGAATATAAAATAATCAAATTGGCATTTTTTTTTCATGTCTGGAGGCTAATCCCCCCAGGTTGGGCAGAGCTTTGCCCCAAAGATACCCAACAACGGTAGCACGTGAGGGTCGAACCTGAGATCTTGCTGTAACTACAGGCGATTAGTCCCAGTCGAGCTAACCACGGGGGGCAATCAAATCAAATAAAATTGGCATTTGCGAATAGGAATTGTCGCTGATTAATGAGATCCTATTAATGTTCAACTCATGCGCAAAGATAAAATGTCGTGTGTTGGATATGTGATTTTCTAAAAAGGTTTTTTTTTCACTAAGCATGTTTTTCAATTAGTTTTATATTATTTCGAATTAATTTTACTTTACACTCTTCAACTACACCTTAAAATAAGATAGTTTAGTCCCAAAAAAATATTGTCCCAATTAAATAAAATCATTGACCGAAGCAAGACACATTTTATACTTTAGGAACTGAAGTGGTATAAATTATACTCAATACTACTGTTGGAAATATAATTGAAGGGTACAAAGTAGAATGAAACCTCTATTATTTCCATTACATCACACCAAAAGTGATACAATGATCAATAGAAAAAATATTTAAATATTTTCGATCCAAGTAGACCGACCTTTTATTTTAATTATAACTTTGCAAACAGGGAGTGCTCATTGCCTAATAAAAAAAAAAATAGCGACTATTAATGCAATGAAAGGTAGGAAAAATTTTTGTGTACTTCACAGTACACATGGTGAAATAATCAAGAAAACCATTAAAAAACAAGAAAGTTTCAACATTAATTCCTTAATATTTTTACATCATCATAATCCGGGATTACTCTTATTTACATGATACGCCATTTAAGTAAATAACCGTTTAAAAATATGCCGTACCAATATCCATTCATTCGTTTCTCACATTAAAATGGTCACTTTATCCTAGTTTTCACACGAGGAGTCTAAAGATGAAAGGTAGGATGCCCCCATTGACACCTCGGAGATTTTAATGATTCTAGACGTGCAGGTACAACACGAGTACGTACCTTTTTTTTTTTTTAAGTCCTGTTCTATTATAAGAGGGGAAGAAAGGGGAATCTGATTCTATTTCAAAGGCTAATTCCTTAAAATATACGTATAAAAAAAAATTATCCGTCAAATGCATGTCTGACTGAGGTGCTTTCTTATTCTATACGGGCCGTGCTGACTCAGCACGGCCGAATCACAAAAAAATCTACCCGATCAACATCCAATTTGGGCTGAGCATTTGTGTCAGCGGACGTGCTGACTGGGCACGTCTCGCTGTTCTCGCTTTCTCTGTCTCATGTATAGCATAGCAGCTCCTCCTCCTGCTTGCATTCGTTCCTTCAGTTTGGCTTCGGATTCGGTGAAAGCAGCCACTGCTTGGCTTCGTTCCTTCTGTCAGGTGCGGAGTCGTTGAAAGCAGCCCGTGGTTAGTCAGTTTTGCTGGAGACAGAGACGATGAAGGCTTGAAAAAATTTGTTGGCCGAAACTTTATTTAATAGGGTGGTAGTAGTACAACTTCTGTTCGTTAATTTTGATAGGTTGCAGAAAGTATACTCAGGCAGCTCCATCAGGTTCATCTGTGCTTCGTCACCTTGATTAGTTAATTTTTAAAAAATTGAGATTGAATGGTGGATAATAATATTAATTTGTATTATGTTAATTAAACATGTTAAGTAATTATGTTCATTATTTATATTATGTTAATTAAACATGTTAAGTAATTATGTTAATTATTTATATTATGTTAATTAAACATGTTAAATAATTATGTTAATTATTTATATTATGTTAATTAAACATGTTAAATAATTATGGTAATTATTTATATTATGTTAATTATTTATGTATTTACATGTTATATTATACTGTCATAAAATGACATTAATTAAACTTGTTTTCTGCATTGTGTGTTGTTGTTATAGTTTATTAATTAATAGTTAATGTAAGGTGTGATAATTTATTTATAATTTTACAATATTGAAGTGTTAAAAAAGAGTTAACTAGTGTATATAGTGATACAATGTTGTCGACTACGACTTATTGTTTAATCGTATAATTTTTGGCGAATTACTATGTAATATAATTCATATAGGAATACTAGAAATATCTAATTAAAATTATTGCTTTTTACATGCATAAAATATATTAATTAACTAAACATAAGAAATTTTTGGATTGCATAAAAAAATGAAGTAATCTGCAAATATTAATAAAAAAAATTTTGGATTGATATTGATGTAGATGAATAATTCATGTACGTAATAGGACTTTTGTAAGATATCATATATGCTGCGTGCAAGGTAAAAATATAGTTAAAATAATTATCCAAAATATAGTTAAAAATGTAGTTAAAATATAGTAAAAATATAGATGCAAAAATGTTGTCTCGAAAAAATAATTATCTGAATTGGTTGTATTATTATGTATGCCAATCACAATCACAAAGCGATTATAATAATTAATTCCTGTTTATTAGAATACATGAATCGTTCGTTAATTAACAACTATTATGCATTTAATAATAATTTAATAATAATACATGTGGAAAAGGCATCTAGGGACATGAATCATGAGGTTAGGTTAATGTATTTATTTTAAATATTAATGAAATGAAGTATATTTAGGATTATGATTAAAATTTAGTTTAATCAGGTTAATTTGAAAATTAAAGTACCAAATTTTAAAGTACCAAATTAAAGTACCCTGACTCTAAAAATCCTAAAGCCTAAAACTTTTTTTTTTTTAAATGTTGTGCGAGAGACCTTTGTGTCAGCACACCTGACACAATCCTAAACCTGTTTGTGTCAGGTGCGGACGTGCCCAGTCAGCACGTCCGCTGACACAAATGCTCAGCCCAAATTGGATGTTGACCGGGTAGATTTTTTTGTGATTCGGCCGTGCTGAGTATAGAATAAGAAAGCCCTTCAGTCAGACGTGCATTTGACGGATAATTTTTTTTTATGCGTATATTTTAAGGAATTAGCCTATTTCAAAGGCAACTAATATTAATGAGATTAGTTTGGATTCTATTTTTTGTTGCAGAACTGTCTGCTGACCTATCAAGTTGCGATAAAATTTATAATATTGATATAGAAATAGAACTCTTTGTTAGGGAGAAATAGTTAATTTTGAGATAGAAATCAAATTCTCTGTTAGGGAGCAACAGTTCGAGAGAACTCATTGAAAAATTTAATATGTAAGTCAGGAACTCAACTTTGATATAAAAAGTTAAATTATTAGGTTTCGGATCCTTATATATATATCAACCGTTCTTTCTCTATCTCTCGAATTAATACGAAACATCTGTTTGGATTGTAAGTTATTTGGGATTATTTGAGATATTTTTACTGTAGCACTTTTTGTGATGTGATGTATGTGAGATAAAAAGATATTGGGAAGATAAAAAGGTGTATTGGAAATTGTAAAGATGATGTAAGCAAATAAAATTGGAGAAATATGAAGCAATCCAAACAAACGCGCAAGGTTAAAATGCTGGACCCATTGTTCGTTCCTAAGCACGCATCTAAATGTCTTGCTACTTGGCAACAATTGAGTTTCCAAGTTGTCAGTAATAAGCAGCTAATGATCTCAAAAAAAGAATAGATAAAAAAAAGGGCAGCTAATGCGGATTTCAATTCATAAAAATTGAAAAGATTATTGTTCTCTCCCTTTATATAACTCACTCTGAATCTGGTCAGTTCATTCTACAATTAGCCCCACCAACAAAGGACAAACTGACAATCAGGAACAAACAAACAACCATTACACCCCCATAATTGCAAGATTAGCCACTAGATTACAAGTTTCCAGACACTTAAAGTGCCCCCAAAAGGAAAAAAAAAAGATTAAGTTGTCGTACTAGTAATTCCTAAACTAAAGCCCCACCACACCATCTTTCTCAACTCTCAAGTCTTTAGTGAGTGAAAAGACATTACCACCCTTTTACCAGCATTAAACCATGTTTGACTCCTCTTTTCTCTCACACTCGCACTCATCAGCCTATCTGTCTCCCTCTAAAAATCTCTGCTAAATTTTGGCAGTTACCTTTTATATTTTTCTCTCGTCAATCAAAAAAATAAAATAAAATTAGCACCAATCGCTCGGGTTGTACAGCTACAAACTACGGCATTGTTGTTTTTTTTTTGTCAAATAAACTAGGCATTGTTTGGTAAGCAAATTTTTGGTTAAATTTATCTGTTATAAAATTTTTAATAACTTTAATTATAATAATTATAATAATTTTTTAAAATATTAAAAAATTTATAAATTTTAAATTTTGTTATAATTTTTATAATAATTTATAATTATCTGTTATAAATTTTTTAATAACTTTAATTATAATAATTTTAATATTTTTTTAAAATATTAAAAAATTTATAAATTTTAAATTTTGTTATAATTTTTATAATAATTTATAATTAAATTTTAGACAAACAACCAAAAAATTCACTCACAAACGGGCCTACGACTACAACAACAACCAGGAGAAGTACAACACCACCAATAACAAACATTTTGCTAGACACAAGAATCACCATCATCTCTACTTCCTCGAGCCCCAAGCCCCCCTCAACCTTCCTACCTTCTCCCTTGATTCTCTCTCTATTTTTTTCTCTTTCTCAAGTGTTTGTAACCAATTAGATTACTTTTTATTACCAGAAAATTCCCAGTGTCTAAGCCTTCATCTATAATAGTACTAGGAACTTCTTCAACAGTATCCCTTTGTTTATCATAATTTTTTACCTGCAGAACAAAAGTTGAAAAGAGAAGATGAAATTGGTAGTAAAAGAAAATATCCCCTCCATCCCTTCCTGTTTGTTGTGACTAGCGACAGGTCCCTCTCTTTCTCTGACTGTGCGACCACCTCCTTTTTTTTTTTTTTGCAGAATCTCTGTTTTTGTGCGTGTCTGTGTGTGATATGTAATGCATGTGTGTGTGTGTGACTAGTGACCAGTGACCGCCTTCCTTGTTTACAGAAGAAAAAACCCAACTTTTTTCCCCTTCGTCTCCCAGGTCTGAAATGGCTCAATGTGGGCTGATCTGCGACCATGTTCAAGAACCTATTTTTTTGGCCGGAACCATCTTTCGACTTCCAGATGGAAAGTGGGCTGGTCTAAACCTTCCCTAAAAGGCAACCTTTTTTCCCTTTATTTCGCTGAAAATCCAAAGTTTTTCGACCCACATTGCTCCAAGACTCCACCTTTTCTTTACCGTCTTTTAGATATACGCATTTCCCCAATATTTTCTCGTAAACAGGAGAGAAATGGGGTGTGTGGCTTCCAGGTTAGAAGAGGAAGAGGAAGTAGTGTCCATATGCAGAGATAGAAAGCACCAGCTGAAGTTGGCTGTAGAGAGAAGATATGCTCTGGCAGATGCACATTATAGATACTGTCAAGCACTCTATGGTGTCTCAGCAGCTATTAGGCTCTTTGTTGCTCGCCATTCTTCTCCTGCTTCTCCATTTATGATCACTTTTCCACCTCCCACTCCACCTTCTCCTCCCCCAGAAAATGTGGTCTCCAACCCCCTGTTCCTTCAGCAAACACCATCGGAACCAACCAAGGAAGCTCTTACCTGTGAGTCCTGTGAGTCTTCAACTGCATCAGACTCTTCAGAGGAGGAAAGAGAAGAAAGAGTGGTGAAAGAAGAACCGCCCTCTTGTGGGTATTTTTACATGGAAATGCCTCAATCAATGCCCTCTCCACATAGAGATTTTGGTTGGGATTTTTTTAACCCTTTTACTAGCGTTAGGCCAGAGATAATAAATGGGTATAATCGGATATCTGAGGAGGATTTGAGGGTTGTTAGGGAGCGAGAAGGAATTCCCGAATTGGAAGAAGAAGGGGAAAGATTTGAGGAAGAAAGTAATGCAGTAGTGGTAGAAGAGAAATTGGGTGGGCGGCATCATGAGGAAAGCAGCAGGGTTGAGGTTACCAAGGCAGTGAATGATAGTACTGTGAGCCAGGTGGAGCAAAAGGGCTTAACTGTCATTGACACGCCTGTGAGAGGGAGAGAGTTGTTGGAAGCTCTTCAGGATATTGAAGACCATTTTATCAGAGCTTACGATTCTGGCAAGGAATTGTCTAGAATGTTAGAGGTCAATAGGGTCCAGCTGCAATCTAACTTGGAGGAGATAAAAGGTATAAACTTTTTCTTCCGTCCTTCTTTTCAACCAACTAAATTATAGACGCATGTGTCCTGTGTGCTCTTTTCGATTGTAATGATGTGTTAGCCGTCAACTTTCGTTTACTTGGTTAACATACTACAAGTATATCATTACATTTTTCTTGAATCATTAATTTTTGCTTCAGAGACTTGGAGATGATGAGGTGGTATGACCTCCAAGTCCTAATGTGCTGCTGTAAATTTTTTCTCGCTTACCTTGGAAAGTTACTTTTGGCTTCAGAGTGCTTTAGTCGTGTTTATCACTACGTATTGTTCTTTCTGTATGTCTGGTGGGGCTCTACATTGTCCCCCTTTAAGTAAGAATGTGTAGCATGCTTCTGTTAACATTTACAAATACCTGCATCACCTTTGCGCCTTTTTATTTTGACAGCAAAAGAACTTGTAATAGTTCATAGTGAGATTGTTATGGGGCACATTCACTCTCTTCTATCGCAACCCAGTATAGATTGCATGTCTTTTGCAAGTTTCATCCTTGTTACGGAAATGTACTTTAAAAGATAAATAACAATGAAAGATAAATAACCCAGGGAGATTGTTACAGAAATGGCCTTTACTTGCCATGGAAATGGCAATTAATTTCAGATGTTGGAGTACTGAATTCTTTTCTGATAAGGCTGAGTTCATGTATGGCATGATGAGTTTTCTTTTTCGGTTTTTTTTTTGGCATTTTTTTCATTCATTTCTGATTTGCATATTTAAAGATTGCAAGTTTTACTTCCAGTTGCCAATGATGCAATTGATTCATTTCTTGTGTGGATCAGAGAACTCAACAAAAATGATCCAGGCTATAACTTGGCGATCCACTACTTCTCGTTCTTCATCATGTAAGAGTCTTGTAGCGTCGAGTTCCAAAAACTGTTTGACATGGACTGAATTCAAGAATGATCTTTTTGATGATTATGGAGGAATGGATTCTGGAAGCCATTCACTGACATTGGGAAGGATATATGCTTGGGAGAAGAAGCTCTATGAAGAAGTTAAGGTAGATGATCTAGTTCTTGCCATAACTTTCGTCCTTATTCTCTTCCCATTTAGGTTAGCATTTGACCTGAAATTTGTTTGCCCTCAGGCTGGGGACAACACTAGGAAACTATATGAGAGGAAATGCAATCAACTAAGAAACCAAGATGCCAGAGGAGTTGAAGGGGCCACTGTAGATAAAACAAGAGCAGCAGTGAAAGATTTTTATAGCAGGATCCTTGTTGCAATTCGAAGTGCTGAAACCATATCCCAAAGAATTGAGAAACTCAGGGACGAGGAGCTCCAGCCCCAAATTATGGAACTGCTTCAAGGGTAAGGAGGTATTCTGGAGTGAAAGAAGGAAGATTACCTGATACGCTTACTAATATTGTCACCTGGTTTGCTGAAAGTGTTTTACTTTGCTGCAGCATGATGAGGTGCTGGAAAACCATGTTGGAATCCCATGAAATCCAGAATAAGATCATGTTTGAAGTGAAAACTTTCAAATGTCCTACATTTGGAAAGTTCTGCAATGATTCTCACCGGCTTTCAACTCTGCAGCTTGGTGCTGAGCTTCGGAATTGGCGGACATGCTTTACCGAATATGTTGCATCCCAGAAGGCATACGTTGAAGCACTGCATGACTGGATTTCAAAGTTTGTTGTCCCTGAAGTTGAATTCTATTCGAGAAGCAGAATTTCTGCTCCACCATGTCGAGAAAATGGACCACCTCTTCTCACCATTTGCCGTGATTGGTTAGCTTCCCTGGACAAATTGCCTGACAAGGATGTTGGCTCTGCCTTAAGAAGCTGTGAAAAGGATATTAGAGCTCTGTGGGTTCAGCAGGGAGAGGAACAGCAACAGAAAAGGAAAGTTGATAGCCTGTCTAAAGAACTAGATAGAAAGATTCTTGTGTTTCAGAAGGCTGAGAATAAATTTCATGAATTAAAGTTAACAGATCATAAATTGGATCTGGAGAGTGATCGTGGAGCTGAGTACTTTAAAGAGAGGAAGGATTTATTGGACAACTTCAGGGAAAAAGTTGACATGGAAAAGGAAAACCACCAGAACTGCATGCAAGAAACTCAAAGGATAACGTTGAATGGATTTCAGACAGGTTTTGGCAGAGTGTTCGAGTCTATGACCGAGTTTTCCAAGTTTACATTGAAAATGTTTAATGATCTATCAAGCAGCAGTCACGATGCTGAGAAATTCAGCAGCGCGTCGTATTCCGAAGGCTCCCAACTTGAAGATGGCAAAAGGTGACCTCGCAAAATGAAGTGGAGATGCTGTGACTGATATGGCTCGGGCTTTCTTCTTATTCTTTTTCCCCGTTCCTTTCATTTTGAATTCTTTTAGGCTGAACGCCCGATTGAAGGGTATTGTACACTGGGAATGCGTCTAAGCAGCTCGCTGAGATGCTCTTAGTTGTGTTTGTACTTGGAAGTAGGGGGCACTGGGAGTTTCCCTCCTGCCTTGTAGATGTTCTGTTGCCAAAGTTTGTAGCCTATTTCCTCATTCTCACATCTCTATGGGCGAAAAATCCATGTAAGCTGGGAGATTGGGTGGGCAGCCCATGTGTCTACATGTTCCCGCAACTTTGGAGGACTGGAGTATGTGGTCGAATTTGTAAAATAGTCTCATTTTACAAAGGGTAAGAAGATGGTTAAGAATTGAATATATCCCCATATTAGTTATAGTTTACTTTTGATATTCATAGGTATTCCGAGCTGTGTCCTGGGAATGGTACCTACGTACGATGCAAGAATAGGAGGTGCAGTATAGCAAGTATATAGACTTAGACTAAACTAAAGGGGTGCTCTGACATCTCTTTTAGAACTTTTTCATTGCAGGTGGGATTCGAATCTTCGACTTACAGTTTAAAGAGAGATTTAGTCCATTTTTTATAGTTACTGAGTTTTGGTTCAGTGGTTTGGTCACCAGTATTGACTATAGGAGCACTATTATTTGACGATTGTAATAACATGTATGGGTCATGGTTTAGAGACGTTTATTTCATGTGAGGCCCTGATGAAATCTAGAGAAAGCGTTGGGATATTCAGTGCCATTATCAGTGTCAATCTCCATACGAGGATAAAGGAAATTTGAATTAAATCAAACCAATTAGAGTTATTAAAAAAATTAAAGAGCACGTGATAATTTATATAAACAAAAAATTTGGTATAAATATAGAAGTATTCTCAATTATCACGTGAGGTAAAGGAAATTTGAGTCAAATAGAACCAGTTTGAGTTATTAAAAAAAAAAATTAAAGAGCACATGACAATTAAAAAAAATAGGAAACTTGATATAAATATAGAAATGACATTGAGTTGGTACTGAAAAGTGACATAGAGAATTTCATGTGCTAAAGAAAGGTGTTATTGATGATTGCATCTCGTTATTTGGCTAGATTTTCGGCCCTAGATCTTAAAAGCACGAGGAGGCACGAATGTTACACTCCATATTTTTTTTCCCTTTTAATGCAAACTATAAAATTTTATTGATGAAGCAATAAGATTATACCAAAAGTCAAGAAAACCTATTGAGAAACACACCACTAATTTCAATTGTCAAGAAAGTGATCACAAACAAAACTCAAGCAGTACCAAACAAAGAAAAGGGTAAACGGAGTCACAAAACTGAGTCTCAATCTGCCGTTGGTCTGAAGACCCCAGCCCAGCAACCACAGCTTAGATAGAGTCCAAGATAATAGCCACAAGTCTGTGGTCTGAGGATCCCAACCAGCAACAACGCCTCAAATAGAGTCCAAATCAAAATAGCAGCCACAATTGCCCGCTCCATGAACAGGAACTTGTTGGCACAAGGCAAGAGAATCTTAGATGGTTTTCGCAAAAAAATTTCCTGAAATATTCTCACGATATACTTTTCAATCATTTTTTTTTATCTCACATGCATCCTATTATATCATTTACTAATATATTTCAAAAAAGAAAAAACTGACACATTACATTGCAGTATATTTTTCTACAAATTATTTCAAAATAGTAGCAACTAAACTGAAAAGTAAACTCTGTAGAGGCAATTTGTGGCTAGATGGTGAACCGGGTCAATTACATCATGCCACGTGTCATTTTGTACCAAATGAACAGATTGGACGAGGAGTTACAGCTTCCCCTGTAAATATCCCCCAATGTCCACTCGGGACCCTTCCCGACTATGTTGTGTTCTGTAGGATCCGTCAAACACATGATACAGTAGGTCAGCTCTGTAGCATTTGGGCTATGTTAATTTTTAGTTGATTGTTAGTTTTTTGTTTTAAGTTTTTTATCTTTTGTTCTTGTGGTTACATATCCTGGCACAAAGTCTTACTTAATGAAGAGGTGAATTCTGACCGGTTGGAGTGAACCGTGAGCTGGTAGTGCTACAGCTAGAAAGGTCACGGCTGTCCTGGTCACCTGCTTAGGTTACGAGAGAGGCTGAATCCCCCGGTAGAACTCCGAAACTTAAGTCAGTTCGGGATTGGGAAAATAGTTTAATAGAAAAGAAAATCAGTGTATGGTTTTACCAGGAAATTGATCATCCCCTTTCTCAGTAGAAGCCTTGAGTATTTATAGAGGATGGAGAGGAAAGAGGGACTGCTGGCACGGGTCCCTAGAGAGCTGCCATGGGCAGAGCATCAAGTTGATGTGATGGGGTTCTGTAAAAAGGCGCGCCGGAACAGTTGTCAGAGTCAGGCGGCGCATGTCAGGGCAGCTTTATCAGAGGTGTCAGAAGTCAGGTCCCACAACTCCGGTGGTCAGGTCTCTATACTTTACTTCGGCCTTATGATAGAAGATCTTGGCCGAGGTGATAGTTGGGCCGAAGTCACGACCCGAGGGGACTGCTGAGGCGGGGGTTCCAGGAGTGCCACAGGGCGAAACCCCAGCACTATCGGAGCTGGAAATACCCTCCTCACTAAGCCCCCCAAGCCTTGGGAAGGGCGAGGTCGTTGCTTTCCGAGATAGCTACTTCCCGAGGCTGACAAGAGTGTAGGACATGGAATACAGTAAGGACACGTCATGACTGCACGGATGGGACTGGGAAGGAAGTGAAATGATGGCTGTCAGCTTTAATGTCAGATCCATGGATGGACGTGAAATCAACGGTCAGATGAACAGTTCTCTCATTAATGAGGAGAGAGGTCGTGCCCTCGAGAATGCCAAAGGTACCGCCTTTTCATCTTCTCCCTGTTAGCCTATAAATAGGAGTCCCTTTTTACCGTTTCACTCTTTACCAGAAATCAAAAATCACCTCAGAGTTTTGTTTCTCTGTCTTTTCACTTCGACAATCTCTTAAACCACATCTTCTGAGTAAGTTTACTTCTCCCTCTTTAGTAATGGCTAGGACAGCTCGTACCCATAAAGAGACCGTGAGGCCCGATTTCACCGAGGCAGAGAGGCCCGATCCTTCCGCGGAGAGAACCGCTTCTGAGGCCGGGGAAGGGGGAGCCGAAGCGTCTCATCAAGTCTAGACACCCCAGGGACAAAGCGAGGAAACCGAGGTCGAAGCGGAGGTCCTCTACAACGATGACCTCGGCAACGAAGTTCCTAGGGATGAGCGAGTGCAAGAACCAGCTACCCCTCCGAACTTGGCGGCGATTGACTACGGCCTAGTGCCTATGTTCAGCAGCGTGATGAATCGAGTCCTGATTGCCGAGCTGATCCGTCAGTACCCCTGGAGGAGGGATTACAGCATCTATCCTCCTCGACCGGACCAGTCAGCCGAGCTCCCTCCTCGGGGTAGAGTGGCCATATACCTCGACCAGTTGGAGGCCGGACTCAGAGTGCCGACCACGAGGTTTCTCCGGGACTGCCTGAGATATTGGGGAGTGAGAATCACTCAGCTCACCCCTAATGCGATTCGGGTCCTGCTCGGCTTCCAAATGTTGTGCCGACATCAGGAGATAACTGCCACAGTCAACCTCTTCCGCCGCTGCTACTCACTGAAGAACAGTGGGAGTGAAAAGGGATGGTACTACTTCTGGAACAAGGTCCCGAAGTTAGTGGTAGATGCACCCCCTTCCATCAAGGAATGGAAAAGGAACTTCATTTTTGTCCCGGCTGATGACTTCCCAAGAGGGTTCTGGTGGAGGCCTCCCACCTCGGTCAAAGAGACCTCTTCGGGCAAACTGGAGGAGGATAACTTCAAAAAGCTGACGGAGTCGGGTCTCAGGATCAACTGCTGGGATTTTTCCGAGGTAGTTCTTGTTGACGGCGGAATCAGCCGAGCTCTCATCAGCCCAGATCGTCCGTCATTTTTTTCTAATAGGCTTGAAAAACATTGTACTTCTTCGCTCCTTACTCTGTTTTTCCTCTTTTGATTCTAACTAACTCTACCTTTGTGCTTCGCAGTGACGAAAGTTTCCGACCTGATCACCGCGGGGGCGTCTGGGGTAAATAAGAGGCCACCCAAGCGCAAGGACACGGCCGAACCGTCCACTCGACCGAAGAAGAAGACGACCCCGGTAACAACTACTACGGCCACTGCGAGCAGGAGATCTCCCGTGATAATCACCGGGGAAGGTTCCGCACTTCGGCCATTCCTGTCGGGGTGCCCACCAAAAGGATAACTATAGCTTCTCTACCTCGGTGCAGGGGAACAACGGCGTTTCCCGTAGTCCCCGTGACTGGGTCATCCCTTTTTAACCTTCACAACGTGCCTTCACAAGAAGTCGGGGAAGATAAAAGGCACTCCGGCGCGCAATGATATCCGGAGTGGGAGATCAACGTGAACGATCGCTGCAAGAATCCCTTGGTCGCTCAGGAGCTCCTGGTCCATTCAGTTCTGTCCAGGGATAACACTTACGCCAGGATGCTCACTCCGGGCGAACTGATGCAGAGCGCCTCCGTCTCCTGGGTTTCCACCACGGCTTTCCTCGCCGAACTGACTCAGCGTTATACTAGACTGGTCGAAAACTATCAGCCCTCATCCGAGCTGGAGAAGAAGGTCGCCGAGCTGGAAGAAAAATTGAAGGCGACCGAGCAGGAACGTGATAAGGCCGAGGCTACCAAAAATTCCTTGACGACGGCCCTTGAAGAAGAAAAAGATAGGAGGGCCCAAGAGGAACAGTCAACCCAGGCGGCTATTGAGAAAGCGGGGACCTCTGTACTGGAGGCTTTCAGGAAATCGGAGGGTTTTCTCAAGGACCTCGGCGAGCTCACACTGCCGAGTTTTATGTTCGGATACACCTCCGCAGTTCATGATGCGGCTCCCTTTCTCACTCCGGAACAGCTGGAGTCCCTTCACAACGAGGATAATTTTAACGATGATGCCAAGGAACTATTCGACCGCATGGCCGAGGGCATCCGGACCGGGAGGGACTTGGCCGATGTGAAGGAGGAGTTCAACAAATGGCTGTCTGAATTTGATTTGGATGGGGTTGAACTCCATGACGAAGACGACGGCACTGAGGGCGGAGGTGGAGGAGCCGAGGCGACCGGGGACAACCAGGAAACCGGGGTAGGGGGTGTGTAGGTGTTGAACTTATCGAGTCGTCCAGGTGACGGGTTCTTAGAATCATACCCGACCTCGGTACTATGTAACTTGTTTTTATCATTAATACAATGACTTTCAATTTTTTTCTTCTTTTTTATTCGATCTCGGCTATTTATTCGATCTCGGCTAATATGTACCCGTTCTGTCCCCTTATTTTTTCACTTAGAATATCATGAAATAATACTAAGGAAGAAATAACAGATGAGTCGAATAAATAATAGAGTACATACCCTTTAGGGGTGATACAATCTGAGGTTCTCAGCGTGCCAAGTTCGAGGCACCCGAGAACCATCCCGGTAAGCTAATTTACAATATCCGTTTTGGCTGGACTCGACAACACGGTAGGGTCCCTCCCACTTGGGGCTGAGTTTCCCCTGAGGTTTAGCTCGACTGACCGAATTCTTTCGGAGCACAAGGTCTCCCGGACTGAACCGTAGGTGTTTGACCCGGGCATTATAGTAGCCAATTATGATATTTTTGTAAAGGGCAACTTTGGCCGCTGCCATATCACGCTTCTCTTCGGCGAGGTCGAGGTCAACTCGCCGCTCTTCTTCATTAACTTCGGCAGCATACGCGGCCATTCGCGAGTTGGGAGTAATGAACTCGGCTGGGACGACTGCTCCAGACCAATAAGTTAGAGAGAACGGGGTCTCCTGTGTTGCTGACCTCGGGGTAGTCCGGTAAGACCACAGCACGCTGGGGAGCTCCTCCATCCAGAATGCTCTGGCTCGATGCAATCTAGTTTTGAGGCCATGGAGGAGAGTGCGGTTGAAGTTTTCGGCCTGCCCATTGGCCTGGGGGTGTCCAACCGAGGTGAAATGCTGTTTGATCCCAAGATTTTTACACCATGCTTTGAAGGGGTTATCAGCGAACTGCCTCCCATTGTCCGAAATGACAACCCGGGGTAGGCCGAAGCGACAAACCACGCTCTTCCAGAAGAATTTTTGAACTGCTGATCCGGTGATACTTCTCAAAAGTTCGGTCTCAACCCATTTGGTGAAGTAATCTACCGCCACCACCGCGTATGCAAAATTGCCTGGGGCTTTGGGGAATGGGCCGATTATATCAGTCCCCCATTATTCAAACGGCCATGGCGAGGTGATGGGGATCATGAGGTTGGTTGGCTGGTGGTGCTCAGGGGCATGGTGCTGGCAAGCAGGACAGCTAAGGACCATGATCTGGGCATCTACCCTCATGGTAGGCCAGAAATACCCTAACAACAGAGCTTTTTTTACGAACATCCTGTAGCCGACGTGAGCACCACAGAGTCCCTCGTGTATATCCTAGAGGACCCTTTGGCCCTCTTCTGGTGTAATACACCGCAGCCACGGGCCGAGGTAGGACCTCTTGTACAAGAGATTTTATCGAAGGGCATACCGAGCTGCTTTACGCTGAAGCTTTCTTGATTCAGCTCGATCATCGGGGAGTTCCTCCAGACTGAAAAATCGGATCAAGGGGCCCATCCAGGTGTCACCGGGGTAAACGGGGCACACGACTTCTTCTAAGTATCCCTGCTCAGCTAAGACTTCCACGAGAACTGACTTGTTCAAATCAGAGAACGAGGTGGAAGCGAGCCGAGAGAGGGCATCAGCTCGTTTGTTCTGCGACCGTGGTATCCTTTGGATTTCAAAAGACTCGAAGTGTGCGATCAACTGGTGGACCTTGGAGAGGTAGTGATGCATGACCTCTTCTCTGGCCTCATATTCACCCAGTATCTGGCACACGACGAGTTGGGAGTCGCTGTAGACCAAGATGTGCACGGCTCCGAGCTTACGGGCTAGCTGCAGGCCGGTGATGACAGCCTCATATTCGGCCTCATTGTTGGAAGCAGCGAAGTCGAATCTTAAGGCATATGAACACACGTCTCCCTGGGGGTCTTCGAGGAGCAAGCCCGCTCCACTACCCTCACTGTTAGACGAGCCATCCACATGCAGGATCCACCGCTGAGGTTCGACAGTAGCCGGGGTACTCTCATTCACCTCATCAAAAGTGAGCTCGGCTAGGAAGTTCGCAAGTGCCTGAGCCTTGATTGTTGTACGAGGTTCGTAAGACAAGTCGTACTCCCCCAGCTCGATGGCCCATTTAGTCAGTCGTCCGGAAGCCTATGGCCGTGATAAGACTTGTCTGAGGGGCTGGTCAGTTCTCAGACAGATGTGGTGAGCCAAGAAATAGGGCTTGAGCCTGCGAGCAGCGTGGATTAAGGCCAACACGAGCTTCTCTGCCTGGGTATACCTGGTTTCTGGACCCCGGAGGACTCGGCTGACATAATAGACTGGCATTTGTACAACCTCCTCCCTTATCAGCACTGCGCTTACTGCTTCGGCCGCGACAGACAGGAACAAAAACAACTTGTCCCCTGGCCGAGGCGAGGTGAGCGTTGGGATGTGGTGAATGTACTCTTTTAGTTGTTCAAAGGCCTGTTAACATTCTTCAGTCTAGGAGAAACTGTCAGCCTTCTTGAGAACCTTGAAAAAAGGTAACGCCTTGGAGACTGACTGCGACAGGAACCGGTTCAGGGCTGCCAACCGCCCTGTGAGCCTCTGCACCTCAAGGATGGACCGAGGTGGAGACATTTCCTGGATCGCTCTTACTTTATCTGGATTAGCCTCAATGCCTCGCCTTGAGACGAGGTAACCCAAAAATTTTCCCGAGGTGACCCCAAAGACACATTTCTTGGGGTTTAATATCATTCGGGTCTTCCGGAGGACCTCAAGGACCTTTTTCAGGTCAGAAAGGAAAATGGAGGTCGTCTGACTTTTAAGGAGAATGTCATCCACATAGGCTTCGCTATTTCGCCCGATCTGGGACTTGAAAGCTTAGTTGACCAAGCATTGATATGTGGCCCCGGTATTTTTCAGCCCGAAGGGCATGGTGGTGTAGCAGTAGGTGCCTTGGTCAGTGTAGAAGGTCGTCTTCTCCTGGTCCTCTGGACTCATTCCGATCTGGTGATACCCTTTAAAGGCATCAAGAAAACAGAGGACCTCAAAACCCTTTGCCGAGTCCACCAAAGTGTCGACCTTGGGCAATTGGTAACAGTCTTTGGGGCAGGCCTTATTGAGGTTGGTGAAGTCGACGCACATCCTCCAAGCTCCTGTGTCCTTCTTGACCATGACTGGGTTGGATAACCAGGTCGGATACTGGACCTCCCGGATTATCTTTGCGGGCAGGAGCTTGTCCACTTCTTCACCAACAGCTCGGCTACGCTCAGGGCCGAGGTGCCTCCTTTTTTGTTTGACCGGGCGTGCCTGGGGGTCAACGTTAAACTCGTGTAGCATGATGTGATGCGGGACTCCTTGGACCTCATCTGCGGCCCAAGCGAAGACGTCCCGGTATTCTCTGAGAAGATCCACCATTCCTTTCTTAACTGAGTCAGGCAAACAGATGCCGACGCGGATCGTTTAATCCGGATTCGTGGGGTCCAGGAGAATCTCCTCCACCTCATCTCCGATTTCCAGCCTCTGGAGCTTCGCCGTTTGCTGAGGATCGATGCAATCAATTGAAAGAATGTCCGACCTCTTTTCGGACCTTCTATTAGAAGTCGATGGGGAGGCCGCTTGTAAAGTGGCGAGTTAGCACTCCCGAACAGCGCAGACGTCGCTGCTTACCTCGGCGACCCCTACGGGGGTGGGAAACTTAAATCTCAAGTGGTATGTTGAGTATACCGCTCGCAAAGCGTTGAGCGTGGGTCGTCATAGGAGCATGTTGTACGGGGAGTCAGCCTTCACCATAACAAAATTGACAGGGATAGTTTGGCAACGGGGGTGACGACCCACGGTTACCGTCAGGGTCACCATCCCTTCGGGATGCACAACGTGTCCCCCGAATCCTACGAGAGAAGTTCTTACCGGGATCATGCGCTCCCTGGCCAACTTGAGGCTCTCAAACGTGCGGAGATACATGACGTCCACCGAACTTCCCGGGTCAATGTAGACCTTCTTCACAATGTAGTTGTTGGTGAGCACTTCAATCACCAAAGGCTCATGGCTGCTAGAGGCAGTTGGGACATGATCACTGGGTCTGTAGGAGATCACCCCGAATAGGCGAGAGCTTGACTCGGCCTGATCCGAATTGGCCTGCCTGTAGGTCCTCTTCCGGGAGTTCTGACTGTCGCCTCCCATCGGACCTCCGGCGATGGTGTTGATGACCCCAACTATATTTGACCTATATCCCAACCCCTGACCTGAAGATCCGTCTCCGGGAGGCCTTCTCGTCTCCCTAGGATCCTCAGGGGGCCTACAGCTGCTTCTTGATACCCGCCTCTCCTCTCAGCGTTGGTCACTCCGGCTTTCGCGTCGGGGTTCATTACGTTGGTGACCACCACCTCGGTGGATGAACTGCTTCAGGTGCCCCTGCCTGATGAGGTTCTCGATCTCTCTCTTGAGATCGTTGCAGTCCTCGATTTCATGCCCGATATCCCGGTGATACAGACAGTAGAGGTTCGAGTTCCGCTTATCCCGGCTGCCGAACATCTTGGGAGGGGCCTTCCCGAGATTGTTCTGTTCCATCACGGACAACACCCGGGACCGAGTAGTGTTCAAAGGAGTCAACTCGGACTTAGGGATGGATGCTTTCCACTTGGAGATTCGGTCGAACACGCTGCGGCGGTCTCGATTAGGGCTTTGGAAGCCACTTCCTGCCCCCACTTCACTTCGGCCAGCCTCTTTTCCCCTTCGGGGATCGGTCCTTGAGCAGGTGGTCTGGACCTCTTTCTTCATGCGGTTGAGGTCTTCGGCCTGTATGCCCTTCTCGACCTTCAACCACAGTTCATGGAGTGTGCGGGGATACTTCTTGTGGATCCCCGTATTGAATACCCCGGCAACGAGCTCATGGGTAAAAGCAGCAATGGTGACATGCTCATTAGGATTAGGTATCTGCACGTTTTTTTCGTGGAACCTGTGGACGTACGACCGAAGTGATTCTCCCGGGTTCTGTTGCATGTTCAACAGATAAGCCGAGGTCCTGGTCGTAGGTCGGGAGGAGACAAAACGGTGAAGAAATTTCTCTACTAATTCCCCCAGGGTTGAAATGCTCCTAGGTTCTAAACCCCAGAACCATTTTCGAGCTGTCCCCTGGAGGAATACTGGGAAGTCCGGCATATGACGGGGTCAGGGATGCAATACAGGCGGAAGGCCGAAATGAAGGCATGAATGTGGTCTTCGGGATCACCTCGGCCGTCGTAAGATGGTATCGAGGGGAGCTTGAAGTTGGGAGGAAGCCTCTCCTCGTTAATGTCATCCGTGAAGGGTGGAGCCCTCTGGTAATCCACCCCAACTCTCTCCATGGGTCGAGGTTCCTCAGGTCGTCGGCCCAAGAGCCCTCTTGACAATGACCTAGTCAGGGAGGCTACCTTAGAAGTGGCCTTAGAGAATGGTCTCTTTGAGGCACTTCGGCTCAAGCGCCTCCCGTCAGATTCTTCTTCAGACGAGCCTTCAGAAGATCCATCTGACTTCCTTTTAGAGGACTCGGCTTTCTGCTTGCCATGTCTCTTAAGATACCTCCGTAACTCCTCAAAGATGTTAGGGTTCTCGGTCACAAACTCGGCCATACGGGTTATGATTTCTTCGTTTGGGGCTGAGTCCTCGGGGACTCCTGCCCTTCGGAAATATCTTCTTGCTGAGCCGCATTACTCTGCTCAGCCCCAATAGTGAGAGCTTTCCTGTTCCTAGAACGCGTAGGCTTCATCCTTTGATGTTTTCGCGTTCCCACAGACGGCGCCAATTGAAGAGGTGAATTCTGACCGGTTGGAGTGAACCGTGAGCTAGTAGTGCTACAGCTGGAAAGGTCACGGCGGTCCTGGTCACCTGCTTAGGTTACGAGAGGGGCTGAATCCCCCGGTAGAACTCCGAAACTTAAGTCAGTTCGGGATTGGAAAAATAGTTTAATAGAAGAGAAAATCAGTGTATGGTTTTACCAGGAAATTGGTCATCCCCTTTCTCAGTAGAAGCCTTGAGTATTTATAGAGGATGGAGAGGAAAGAGGGACTGCTGGCACTGGTCCCTAGAGATCTGCCATGGGCAGAGCATCAAGTTGATGTGATGGGCTTCTGCAAAAAGGCGCGCCGGAACAGTTGTCAGAGTCAGGCAGCGCATGTCAGGGCAGCTTTATCAGAAGTGTCAGAGGTGTCAGAGGTCAGGTCCCACAACTCCGGTGGTCAGGTCTCTATACTTTACTTCGGCCTTATGATAGAAGATCTTGACCTAGGTGATAGTTGGGCCGAAGTCACGGCCCGAGGGGACTGCCGAGGCGGGGGTTCCAGGAGTGCCACAGGGCGAAACCCCAGCACTATCGGAGTTGGAAATACCCTCCTCACTTAACGGCATCCCCCTTCTGGCTTGCATGAGAACTCACTGGACTTGAGTACTGAGGTACCCGAGATCCTCCCGAGAGCTTCATCTCGAGATGAGGTCGTCAGGGACGATCTCACCATGTATTATTGCCATGGTTTAACTCGGGATGCCCAGTGAGCTGAATACCTGAGTGATAAGAAGTCAATTTGCCAGGGACGATGTCACCATGTATCATTGTCACGATTTAACTCTGGATATCCAGTGAGTCGAGTATCCGATCGACAAGGAATGATTGACATGACATCTATACAGGCTTTTGCAGGCCTACTCTGCTGTGCGACCAAGTCTATAGCCGACATACCGTAGCATCCTACCTCATTAAAGTAACTCAAAACCCGATGATCTTCTCTGAGACTCTACTATAAATACCCTCCTTGAACTTCCAAAGGTAACACACTCGAAGAACTCTTATTTGGTTATCTTTTATCGATATCCTTCTTGTCGCTAATTTAAGCATCGGAAGTAAACTGGGGGGTTAGCCTCGCCTTTACCTTTGATTTTAAATAGGGAACCTCAACTCAAATTTGCCGACTGCGGTCCTCCTTGGGAGTCTGGCCTCGGGTTTCTATAAGTACCAACTGCGTCTTTTCCTTGAGAGTTGAGGGGCCATAGTGTTAAACTGTTTGGAAGAGGTCACAAAAAGGCAAAAACAGCAGCAGACAGATAGTAGTGTTTGTTTATAACTGCTTCATTCTCTACCGTTTTTACACTTAGTTTATTATTCTGAGTAATACATTTCTGTTGTTTATTATTTTGAGTAATATATTTCCTCACTATTTTCATTAATATTTCATTTCATATAGATGTAATGTAGCTTCTTATAACTTAAAACGTCTTTTCTATTATGTTTTAAAACTCGGACCCGGCAATAATTCGGTCAAATTTAAGGGTCAGGGGTTGGTCGAACCTGTTTAAAAATCAGATGACATCATCATGATGTCATAAATATGTATTAAATATATGTAACGTTAAATGTTATAAAAAGTACATATACTTTGGTATTTCCTTTTTTCTTACACATTTCCTACATATCATACACACAAAACAAAACCAACTTTGAAAACTCAAGCACATACAACCCAACCAATAACCTCACAAATTAGGATTAACACATAGCTTAATAAAATTCAAAAGCACTAAAGTTCGACTCCAATTTGATATTTTCAAATTCTAAGTCAATAACTAAATGTATGAGACTTGTTTGAAAATAGACATCAAAATTCATGATGCAAATGACATTAGAAAAAGTTTTAGGAACTTTGATACTAATTTGAAATGTAAGTAGGGGAAAAATGAAATGTTCAAAAACATAAGGTAGCCATCTCTAGTTTCTCACTCTATGCTCTACATATGCTATCAATATAGTTGCATTCACGTTTCTGGAACTTTTGTTCCTATTCCCTTTCTTTCACACTTTCGTTTTCTAGCTTTCCTTGTGTCTTTTAATCTTTTCTCTTATCAATTTTGTCTTGTAGTTCTGGGTCTTCATCTTTGATTCTCTTTTCTATATTAATCAAACAAAAACATGAAAACTTATTAATTTCGTTCTCTTCTATCCATTTGCATTTCTCTTTTTCTTCTCTTATTTTGCTTCTTGATCTTAGATCTGCAAAATTTCCTTCTTGATCTTAGATTTGTATTACTTGTTTAGATCTATAAATGGCAACAAGTCCACTGTTATAGATTTGCTTGAAAAACAAGGAAAGAAAGGCTGATTCTTTTCTTCTTCTTCTTCATCTTCTTTCCTTTCGGGAAAAAGAGTTGCAAAACTTTAGGAAACCAAGAATCGGGTCTTCAAAATCCCGGTTTTTCTTGGTTCAACCCGGTTGTTGACCGGGTTTGACCGAGCCTTTTGCCAGCCAATTTTCTAACTAAGCTTGGATCGGATGTCTAACCGATTTTCGATTCAATCGGTTGAATCGGCCAGTCTAGTCCGAATTTGAAAACTTAGCTTTTCTAATGTCCCTTTGTTCCCGTTGTTTTGCAATGGAACCCCTTTTATCACTTTAATAATGAGAGAGATTGGATTCCAACCTGCGAGGAAAGAAAAAGAAAACAGGGTAGAGTAGCTTAATTGAGGTTTCCTTTCTGTTCAATTGATACTCTAGTACCACTTCATAGTTTTGTAGACTGAATCCTTATTTCTGGTGTTTTTATGTTTTTTTTTGCTTTTCTTGTTTCTTTTCGGTGCTAATTTTCACAGGTAAGAATTTTTAGCAGCAGATAGGTAGTTACAGGCTTAGCAGCAGGCTCCCTTGTGGAGGTTGATATCCCACATCGGGGTTTGGGGGGTTTGGGGTAGAGTAGATAAGTCTCTTGTGAGATCCTCAAAAGTTGCCGGCTTTTGTGGGTTCTCACGGGATTTAGGTTTATCCAAATATCAAAAGTCCTTTGGGCTTGGAAAAAAGACATCAGCCTTATTTCGGGGGGTTGGGATCTCGTTAGGTCTTAGCAGCAAGCTCCCTTGTGGAGGTTGATATCCCACATCGGGATTTGGAGGGTTTGGGGTAGAGTAGATAAGTCTCCTGTGAGACCCTCAAAAGTTGCCGGCTTTTATGGGTTCTCACGGGATTTAAGTTTGTCCAAATATCAAAAGTAGAGCTGTTAAACGAGCCGAGTCGAGCTCGAGTATAAGACAATCGAGCTCGACTCGAACCCCTAATCGAGCTAGCTCAAGCTCGCTCGATTACTAATTCGAGTTTCACAAGGTGCTCGAGCTCGACTCGATGTGGTGGTAAAAAACTCGAGCTCGGGCTCGAACTCGAGTTTGAAATCGAGCCGAGCTCGTTGAGCTCGAAGCTTGAGCTCGAGCTTGCGAAAAATGTCAGTGATAGCTTACTAAAAAAAAAAAGTCAGTGATCCTAAGTTTCCCGTGTTCTGCTGCTACAAGTCCAATCATTGGTTCTTTTTCTTTATCTCGAGGATGGAACTTGAGCGCCCTTTATCACCACAATTTCATATATTTTTTAGTAAGATATATATAAAAAAAAAGAGGGAATTATCGAGTGAGTATATGCTGAAAATTCCAGCTTTCATATTCCTCTTCACTCTAGGAAAACCATTGCTTCAAATTTAAACTGTTGTTAACAACTAGATGAAAACACAATTCCGTTAATTTTGTAAGCATTAGAACGTAGTAGCAAAAACTGCACTCGGAGTACATCGTGTTAAAAAAAAAAAAAAAGATAGACAGAAAAATGAAAGTTTAAGGGGCGCTTTGCAACCTGAAGAAAGTTGAGGTTGTATCTTACAATTAAACCTGAAAGATTTTCTGGGTTAAAGCTCTCAAATGCTTCTTCAGTAGTGCGTCTTTCTTGAAAATTATCGGCTCAAAAGCTGAAAGAATGAGGCAAACAGGGAGAGAGTGGGATTTCTGTAAAGGGTGGTTCATGAGCAGTGACGGTGGCGAGAATGGAGGGTGCTCCGTATGGTGAGTCAGTGACGGTGGGTGCAGCTGCGGCTGCGGCTGTGGAACGGAAAAAGAGTTGACAGAAATCAGAGAAGGCGCCTGGCCGTTGCTGCTGCGGCTGCGGCTCCGGCTGCGGATGGCGCCTGGCAGTGAGAATGGCGGCTGCGGGGTGCGGCGTGAGAATGGAGGTGCGGGGATTGGGGTGCGGCTGCGGGGTGACGGCTATGGGACGGGAAAATGAAGGACCAAAAGAGGAAAGGAAGAATTAGGGCTACACGGGAGATGACGTAGTTAGAATACCACATACACATTGAAATGACGAAAATGTCCCTATCTTTCGAGCCTAACGAGCTTCTACAAGCCGAGCCTTGCTCGGCTCGTGTTTTAAACGAGTATTGATTAGAACTCGAGCTCGGCTCGTTTCTCTCTGTAAACGAGCCGAGTCGAGCCCTTATCGAGCCGGGTCGAGCTCGGCTCGCGAGCTGCCCGGTTCGATTAACAGCTTTAATCAAAAGTCCTTGGCTTGGAAAAAAGATAGGTAGTTACAGGCATGATCCTTGGCCTGGCACCGTTTTCATATCAAGCAATGAACAGGTTAACCAACTTAACCATCCATGATCCATCTAATTAAGTTGGCCAATCCTTGATTGCATTTATGGCATGGCTTGTTTGGTGATTCCATCTCCTTATTTGCTCATTATTCATCCTAATTCCTAAATGATCAATCCAAAAAAAAAAAAAGAAAGCCACGATTCTTAATATATTCTCCAAATAATGAAACTCGACCGCATTCTGTGCTCCATTGCTTCCTGTGCGCATATAGGAAAGATGGGAATTATAAGTGATAGCTGTATCCATGCAAAGCCAACAGTCAAAGCTCAATAAAGATCTGCAGATCCTGAAAACCAAGCTAATTCACTTCGTTAATAACCAACCAAGCCATTTGGCTTTTCTGCGACATCTTATGTAAGGTACCGAACAGGATGGGAAACTCTTTTGACACTTCCCATAATCCATATCTACTGCAGCAGCACAACTATGGCAGAGATGGCAGTAAGTTTGCACCAGAGGCACAAATGCTATACGTCCCCAACAATCTATTGAAAAATAAATGTTCAATTTGTACACCGTGTGGATGATACGTATTCTAGACATGCATACAGTAAGAGAGACCAAGAAGAGATTAAGCTTGGCACTTCCAGTTATTATGCAGCCCAAGACTTGTCCTATCTTAAGTACAAGGACACCAAAAACTGAGAGAGAAGCACAAATTCGCTCACAACAGTGGCAGGAGAATTTATGCCCAGGAAGGGGACAATGTCGACTTGCAACCAGTTCTCAACTGTTGAGCCAACCACGGCACCGGCCACCAGCCCTCCAATTGTAAATAGAGTAGCCTTCCCTGCAGGCAAAACCAATTACCTCCAATTTTATGTTTGGGTGCATCACTTCCACAAAACATTCAAAACAAGCCAAATCTTAAGGTTTAAAGCATTATCTACAGCATCCTGATAAGTAATTGAAATAAAATCATCTGAATTGATGATTAGTGCTTGGTTGAAATGCACGCTTATAGTATGCCAACCAACAAAAGGTGATTTTAAAAACGATGGCCAAAGACCCAATATAGATAGCTTGCCGCTTATGTTGCAAAACAAACTGGCCACAGCAAACACACATACTCAATATTTGCTAAACATATACAGCAACATTTGAATGCAAATGGCCAGTTTGCATTTAATTGGAGGCTATTGAAATCTCCTCTCCTTTTATTCCATTGTCCATATACAGCCTCAGACACACAACTGCAGTTTCTTACTGCAGGTTACATCAACATTTTCACATTGAAAATCATATTGTTCCTTGTATACCTCTAGTTACATATAATGAACATTAAACAGTTTGTGCCCAATGCATAGCACTAGATTTTCTTTTCTATAAAGTAAATTATCATTGTATGAGCTCAAATCACACATGATACAGTTTTGGCAATACATGCCAAAAAGAAGAGAGCCAAATAGAAGCATGTTCTGGGACTGAAGTTTGCAATAGAGATGGTCAAAGGTGCTGCCTTTGAAACCAGTGCCAGGATTGATGTATTTTGTGACTATCCACATACCAAAATGTGTGTAATGGTAATACTAAATGGAAAAATCAAAATAAAAGCATCCATAAAAATTCTCAATATGAACATATACTCACCTATTTTGACATTTTTCTTTGTTATGAAGTATAAGGATGCCCCAAAACTCGATGCTAGAATAAGTCCAGGGACATCAGCTCCAGCATATGGTGCTGCAGATGATGAGGCTCCATTTACATAGGTTAAGACCATTAAAGCTCCATACACTCCTGCTTGTATGCCTAAATCTCCAGTTGAAGGCGCTTCAACAGAGACTGAATTTTTCAGCCACTGGGGCATTGGTCCCAGCTTAGGAGCACTTACAGGCTTAACATCAGCATAGCGGATGCTGCTGCTTACAACTTTTCCCGCTCTTCGCTGTGATAAACTCTGCATTAGCAGCATATCATATGCAGCCTCTACCTGGGAAACAATGACCTTATTACTCCAAAAAGGCTATTAACCCACACACAAAAAAAAAAAAAAGATGAACACATTAAATATATTCTGAAACCAAGCAAATCCTCTGCTTACGGTGATAATTAACTAAAGGACAGGTAACAATGTATAGACACCAACCTAGTATTTTACCGAAAATGCAAGACCAGCATTAAGATTGTTTTTGGTCCATCATTAACTTATGCTTATTATTCAAAGCAGGAGAGAGACACGCAGAGAGAGAAAGATAGAGAGAGAGAACTACTCCTTTCTAACAATTCAACTATAGGAAAAAAATGCACTCATTGATATTTCATTGTAATTGACGAAACAGCTCGTGATACTAATGTTAATGGGTCCAATAGGTTAACTCAATGTAAAAAGGCCGAACCCTAACCCATTAGCTTCTAGTTGTTCCAAAAAATATCCAGCCTTGTGGAATAGGAGAATCAAATAACATCACCAATCCTTCACCACTTGCCCTGTGTGAAAACAAGTAAGAATACAGGCACTCATGCAGGCTACAAGTAGTCAGATCTCAGGGAGCAGAAACTCAGGTATAAACTTAAAAATTGCTTTCAGTTCAGACTGCAATAAAGTGTTTCAGCCTGTGAACAGTAATATTGGTAACTAAGTTCGTTTTATCACCTTCATATTCCTATTTTATGCTGTAAGTTTTCATGGTAGTAATAGACCAGGAATAAACTGCTGTTATCACCACGCGAGATGGGCAAGCATGCCAGAAAGGATCAAGCAAAAGAAACCTTCTGGTAGCTCATCCACTCTACCATCTTACCCACCCATGTTTCCTTCCTAGAACCAAAGGCTAACACCTTACTGGTGAGGAGGGAGGTGGAAGAAGAAGAGACAGCCAAAGCAAAATTGTAAGAAGATCAAAGTCCAACATCCTTATTGTCATTTTTTCTAGGCCTTTGAGCATTCAACAAAAAATATACGACTTCACAACAAAACTCTTGCCAGGATTGCAAGGGATGCACGCCATCCGATTGCTAAAAGAGTATAAATGAAGTGAAATTGCTACATCCTCCAAAGCAACAACGTCTTCAGCAGATTCTGGCACTGGCATACAACTAGACATGTTCTACATATATATAGAAACTAAAATTGCAGACTTCATCGTTAGGAATTTTTTTTTAAGCTTCCTGATATTTATATTGATAAACTTTTAGCTGGGAAAAGTTACTGGTTGCTATCCGAATTGGGTCCCAAACAACTACAGAAATAAATATTTTATTCCCTGAGAATTACTTCTATTACCGGCAAAAAGAGTGCCGGATTTTCTATACTACTCCTTCAAGCTACATAGCCAGTCCACTTAAAATCATCAGAGACAGAGCCAAGCCCCATCAGAACTCAAAAATACAACACCACAATCCACGTAGAAAATCAGCAGGCTAATGAACCAGCAATCAAGAAGTGAAGCATTACAAGCTACTAAAAGCAACAACACGAAGAGAAAAAGATCCTAACTTTCAAGGCAAAAAGAAAACCTCTTTTTTTTCCTCGCCTTCCAGAAAATGAAATACTCATATTCATCCCACTAAAGCATATCTAGGAAATCCAATGCAACCAGTACATAATAATTCAACAAAAATAGTCGACCAAAGACCAAAATGAAGAACCTTGGCAATAGTTGCTTTGTCATCATTGGAAGAGGCAAGAATCGAATTCTTGGCTCGGACAATATCCTCAAAAGAAGCTCCTTCCGAGATGCCCAAAACTTTCAAGGCATTCTCCAGGGACATCTCGAAAGGAGCTGAGTCGTCGGCTCTGGAGCCAGCTTGCGGAGCTGCAGCTAGCAAGCGGCGAGTAAGGGAGAAGAGCGCAGACCATCTTGGGCGATCATGGTTCCTGGGGCCAACATGGGCTGAGCTGAGGTGGGGTCTAGGCCGGGCTGGGCCCGCCGGATTACGACCAATGATCGTACGGTCTGGCCGGACCGAGAGAGTTAAGGCCACCATGTAGAGGTCTATAGTACTCGCTTGTAATATTCTTGCTCGTGCAGAGAAATTAGTAAGTCGATTTCAGCAGTAGAACTCAGTCTTGAGTGCTTATCTTTTCCCCCGGAGGGAAGGGGAGGCGGATTTGTGCAAATCAAAGAGAATTTTGTGGGTGTTGTGTGTTGAATTGGTGCATCCTCTGCTGGAGTAGTGTAGAAGGAAGGGGGACTGAGTCTGAGGTGGGATGCGTTTGGAATTTGGATTCGCCTGTGTTTAGCCAATTTTTGTGGACCATTAGATGTTTGCTTCTTCGAGTCCATAATTCAATTCAAGAATTGCTTTGTGATGTTTTTGTCTCCATTTTACATGGAAACATTTCATTTTTTAAAGTAACATCTACCACAAATAATGGAAAAAAGAAAGAAAGTAATTTTTAAAAGAAATGTCACATTTTTTTTTGTAATAAAAGTATATATATACATATTAAGCGGATTGTAGAACTCCTTCATTTTTTTTATATTACAAATAGAATGAAATCAGAACGTCAATCAAATGCTATATAGAGAAAAGTTGTTAATTCAGTTAATGAAAAAGAGAAAAAAAAAAAAAAAGAGAAGAGTTTCTTGTAAGAAAATAAAATGCTCTACCAAGCGATTGATTTGTGGCCAGGACAGAGGTGCAGAAGAAGAAGAGGCGGTTGAATACCGTTAGCCTTTTGCAGATTAGAGGAATTAGAAGAAAGAAAAGATGTTGGGGGGTAGCTGGAGGTTCTCCTTCACAATCACAATCGCACCACCTTGTTTCTCAAATAAGCGTAAATATAGTGCTGCTGCTGCTACCACCACCACTAGTGGATATGGATTTTACTGCAGAGCCCTGGAGGATCAACAGCAGACTCAGCTCACTTCTACTACCCTCAGTGGAAGTCAGAACAAGAAAAAAGTAGTGATCGTGGGTTCTGGCTGGGCTGGTCTGGCCGCTGCTCACCACCTCTGCAAACAGGTTCCCGGCACAACTATCATTACTGCCAAACTAACCATCTATGTCTGAAGTTCATGATGCTTCATGATTCGATTTCAGGCGTTGGATGTGACGGTTCTTGAAGGTGGCTACGAATTTGGGCCCAAAAATAGAACTCTTGCTCCAGATGATGTTGGCATTCGAGGTGAGATTATTATCCTCTAACTTCTCCACTCCTTTAAAATTTTACTGCGCCAGAGAGATCGTTTTCTTCAGTTTACTTTCTTGTGAGATATTGGTAGCCCACTAAAGAGGAAAGATTCTTTATTCATATCAAACATGGCAGTTTTAGGCTTTTTACCTATGTCAATGATTGTGGTCTAATCAATGGGAGAATTAAGTTATTAAGACAGCAAAGTTTCTACTACCCTTTACCAAATAGGTCTCTCCTGCATGTTTATGTATCGTGCAATTTCTTCATTGCTTCCAGGCTTCTGGTATCCCTACAAAAATATTTTTAATCTAGTTGATGAGCTGGACATTAAGCCTTTCACAAAGTGGACGACCTCCGCAGTATATTCTGGAGACGGATTGGAGGTAACTATTATTGCCAGTGTTTTCTTTGTTTTCAGCTTGCAATACAGCAGAAACTTGCTCTAAAACATAGAATATGTCACAGAATGTATTGCTTTACCCTTGTTTTATCATCTTTGGTCATTGTCTCAACGATTTTTAAGCCATTTCTCTGCACTATATGAGCTATTATTTCAATGAGATAGAGGATGAGTTCTTCAATGAGCATTCCTTGCATGTCTCATATTGCTCCAAACTTAAGCTGCTTTGAATGCTTTTTGCTGCCATTCTTCAGGTCAAATTTCCTCTATTTCAAGAGGTACCTCAACTGCCAACGCCATTTGGGACATTGTTATATACTCAGGTTTGTCTTCAATTATTATGGACATCTTTATTTCAAGAATAAAATCGATTCCAAAGGTAATTCACTTTTGTAGCTTGCTCGACTGTCAAGGGTGGACATGTTGACATCTCTTCCTCTAATGGCTGCTGGTATGTTCTCTTCAGGTGTCTTGTCTTAATTTGAAAAAGCATCTTAATGAGCCACGACTACCTTCTCTACAGATGAGAAAAACATTTATCTTGTATTTGCAGTGATTGATTTCGACAACACTGACGCTGCCTGGGAAAACTACGACCCAAGTAAGTAGTACACTCTGTACCTCACGGACTTTATGCCACAAAAAGATGGAGTTTTTGGGTAAGATTTAGAACATTGTTACACTTCCTCATAGATAGATTGGAACTTTTAGTTACTGCAAGGGAGCTCTTTCGACAATTTGGCTGCTCAGAGAGGCTGTATCGCTATGTGCTTGATCCACTGCTACAAGTGGGATTGTTTGCTCCTGCAGAGCGATGTAGTGCTGCAGCGACTCTGGCAATACTTTACTATTTTGTCCTTGCTCAGCAGGTTTTGCGGCTTTTTTAATTATTTTTTATCATTGAATTCCATACATTACTGGATTATGCTGTGTCATGCCTACAGTTCTAGATGCTATTATCGTATTTTAGATGCTCCTAACTGTAGATGCTGTATTATCGATTTCTCAATAACTATTTCTTCATATATCATGCTTCCGAACTTGATATAGTATGTCTCAAAAAACAGTAAGAGAGTACTTGTAGATATCTGGAAATCACATCTTGTGAATTTGGACTGCAAAAAGATGCTTGACAAGTTTATTTGTTTCATAGAATGATCTGCTGCAATCTTTGCTTAATGAAACTGTCAGTGAGTACAAAATTCTGTTGGAAATTCACCAATCAAAAGGGAATCAACAACATTCTGGAGCTAAAATATATAACATGCATTTTACTTCTGCAATCTTTTTGTCTTCTTGTTTTCTTATTTACTTCTTCCTGGAGTGATCTTAGCATTTTACTTTTGCTTTGTTGCTGCAGAGACATTTTGACTTGGTATTGTGTCGAGGGACAGTCAAGGATAAGATTTTTGGTCCATGGATGGATTCACTTAAATCCCAAGGCTGTAAATTCCTGACGGGAAGAAAGGTTACGGATATAACTATTGATGAAGAGACAGGTTGCATATCTGAGGTCGTTTGTGGGAAAGAAAGTTTGAAAGCTGATGCTGTAATTTTTGCTATTGGAATCTCCACTATGCAGGAAATAATTGAAAACAGGCACGTATCATGATATAAGTTCATTATTGACATTCTAAAAATAGAAGGGTTAACAACCCTAAAAGTGCTACTCTATTACTGTTCCATCGACTGCGATCATTTTGGCTGCTGTTAAATCTTGAGTTTTAAGCTTAATAGTCCATAAGACAAAGAATAAAAAGTTTTGGATATTGTTCTATGGTTTAGAAATGAAATATTCCTCAGAGGTTCTTTATGTTAAATAAAGCAACGTACAACTGCAAGATATCTTGAAAGAGAAGAATTCTTCTTACTTCAGTTGGCTTCTCTTTTCCAATACTAGTGCAGCATTATGTACAAGGGAAGAGTTTCTGAAAGTTTTAAACTTGGACAGCATTGATATCCTCACTGTGAAGCTGCAATTGGACAGAAAGGTATATGCAATGAATTTTTCTTAAAACTGTTCATATGATTAGTGTCATATATTCCTGCCATCTCTTGCTTGTCCTTAGGACATGCAATTGTGTCCTTACGACTTCAATTTCACATGAATTTGCTGTTGGTTGTAGCAGTCAAGAAAAACAATTAACACTGGAAATCCCAACTTCTGGATCATTTCCCTTTATTTTGTTGCTTATTGCCTCGCAATCATTTACAGAGGCACATCATCTTTTCTTTCTTCTTCTTTTGCTCATTCTATCTAATTGAATTTCTGACCATATAAATCATTCAAATCCATTGCACATGCAAAATAGACCTGTCTCAGTTTATTCTTGTTCATTAATTAGCAGACAGCTATACATTTGTTTCTTAGAAAATTGAGTAAGTTGTAAATGACCAGGTTAGCATACCAAATGCAAGCAATGTGTCCTCCAGATTTGATGATTCAACTGGGTGGACCTTTTTCAACCTGAACATGATTTACGATGAGCATAATGACGATTTAGGAACAGTTGTTCAAGCTGATTTTGTAAGCACGCATAACCCTTTTTCCCTCCTCCGTCTCTCCCTGTGTCGGCTAGCTTCTTGCTCCTTTAGAGACAACAAGTTTCTTAAATTGGTATATGATACGATATGATCGTCTGATCTCTGTTTATGTAATGATGCACAACTGGTGCAGTATCACGCCAATGATCTGTTGCCTCTCAAGGATGAAATAATAGTCAAGAGAGTAATGTCTTGCCTTTCAAAGTGCATTGGCGATTTTGAGAAGGCTGTGGTGGTTGATAAAGATATTGAAAGATTTCCCAAGTACTTGCCACACTTCTTTCCAGGTTGTCCTCTTACCACTTTCTTTTTGTTCCCAAAGAGTGACATGGTTTTAATTTTCTGCCATGGGTTACATTTATTGTTCTTGTCTTATGGTAGCATTTCAAAGCCAATAAATTCAACCTGCCTTTTGGTTACTATCTTTTTCACTCAGACAAGCTTGCATCTGGGAAACTTCTTCTTGTCAGCAGGGGGAACTACATGTGAGGTTTTATATGATTAACTGTCTCCACGCATTATCTATTGCCCCAAATCAAATACCCCATGAAAATTCTTTATTCACAACATGGAATTTAGCACAGTATTTTGACTTCTCAATAACTGATCTTGTAATGATTTGGTAGTGTTTTCTTTGCCAATACCACAGGATATTGCCCTCTCATTCTCACCCCCCCTCCTCCCTCTCTCTTTCCCCTTGTTCTTCTTGATTAGGTTCTTACAAGTACATGATGCGTGGTTCTACATCGTTCCCAAATCTGTTCATGGCAGGAGACTGGATCATAAGCCGTCATGGTTCATGGTCACAGGTTTAAGCTCATGAACTGATGTCATTCACTGATTGACAACTTGCTGGTATGCTTGTGTGATGTTAGGCAGTTCATTCTCTTTTGTGAACTTTGACAGGAGAAATCTTTTGTTACGGGACTCGAGGCAGCTAACAGGGTGGTGGACTATCTTGAGGTGGGAACTTTTGCTAAAATAATACCTGTGGAAGAGGATGAGCCTCACATTCAAGCTTTTCGGAGTCTAAACAGGAACCTTGATGAATTGAGGGGGCAGCTTCCATGGTCAGACTATTTTCTACAATGATGCAGTTCTGTCTTCTGATTGATGTTCAGCATTTGTTGCGCGGTTTCGAATATTCCTTGCTGAACAGTATTAAATAGATGCTCTCAGATCCCAACAATTGTGGTGTGGTGTGGTGTGGTGTGGTGTGGTGTGGTGTTAGGAGAGGTGGAATTCCATAGAAACAGGAAGCAATACAACAGTCTCATATGTTTCCGCTTTACCCTTTGATCTGTCAAAAATGCGGATCAAGACTGGAAAATGTTCTACCAGTTGCTAGCTGTATCATGAGCTTCACGAGATTAGCAATCTTTTGATGGAGGACTGTAAAAATTGACTTCATCAGCTTGATTCAATTACTGCATTTTGATCCATCTATTGTTGTCATTCACACAGTGACTAGGGCAAATATTACGCCTAACCATCTTTTTACGACACACATAAATCTCGTAAATTTGTAAGCTGGTCTGCATGAATTCTGAACGATAAGAATGGAAAGTGACAAAAATGGGTAGTTCTAATCATTTTAGCAATCATTTTCCAGCTGATTCTCCATCACTGTAACCTTGACAAAAAAGAATTCTTTTAGCCCTTCGTCCACAAGGCGGTAGCTCTCACATATCGAATATTTTTCAAAAAGTAGAAGTTATTGCTTTTTCTTTTCCACCATTTTGTGGGCTTACTCCCACAAAAGAGAAATAAGAAGGTGGTGGGCATGGGCTTACCATTTGTGCTCCCTATCAGGATATAATTGAATTGAGTCGAGTGTAAATATCGCTATACTCGAGCTCGACTCGACGACAGTAAAGAGGTATTGCTCAAATTCGATCGAGCAGCAGAAATGAGTTCGAACTTGAACTCAAAAAATAATTCGAAAACTCAAGATCGATTCGATTGTGCTTAATTTTTTTACGAATATGATCAATCCCTAGTACTAGATTCGACTACAAGAGTAATTCTGGTAATTTATACAACTCTTTAAGTCTAAAAGAATAAAATTGTAATAACTAAATATATAATTTTTAATTAATTACTTTGTATTCGATAAGATTCAACGAGCCACCAACCTTGAAAAAACAATACTCATGCTCGAACTCGACTTGAATAATTATCGAATTACCTGCACTCGACTCGCACTCGATTTCACGAGAAGATCGGTTTGATTACCTTCAGTCCTACATAGCGGTATGCCTGTCAACGGGCCGGGTCCGGGCCGAAATTCATTATTCCGGATTCGACCCGTTTACCCGACGAGTCTCGGATCTGGGTCGGGTTTACCCGAAAAAAATCTATCAAAACTTACAATTTCTAACAAAAATGAAAAAAAATTTGTAAACTAATTTCTAACTAATACAAAAAAAAACCAAATAAGAAAAGAAATCAAATTGATCTTACTCAAATACATCACCCTAATCAAATTATATTGATAAATATGTATATTTTAAATTATTAATCCATTTATATCCCGATCCCGATCGGATACGGGTCAGAATACTGAGTTGTTTGGATAAGAGTTTATTTGGATGATTTATTTGAGATATTTACTGTAGCACTTTTTGTGATGTGATGTGTGTGAGATAAAAAGGTGATTGGAAAAATAAAAAGGTGATTGGGATTTGTGAGGCAAAATTTTTTTTTCCAAATTCTCTCTGTCCAAACAAAACTGTCTATATTTCGTATCTGACCCAGTTTTTGTTTGGCAAAACGGATCCGGGTCCGGATTCGGATAACGGAATTAAATTCCTACTCGTACCCGGAATAATTTGACGAATCCGGTCCTACATAGCGGATGGGATTCATTTATTTCTTTTGTTTTTTTCCTGTATTCATTCGTGGCAGGATATGAAATGTTTTGAACTTCAAAACCTTCTCAATTATTTGGGTAAGTAATGGCCCCCTAGCTACAGCGAGTGGCAACCGGCAATTGGACGGGAGCTATAGCCTACCCCATGGGTCCGCCGTTCGGGTTCTCGTAGCAATCAATACAACGCGTTCACGATTCTTCCACCACGTTTGGGACCAATTAGTCTATTACTCCTACTGCTAGTAGTTGACCACTGGTACAGAGCCACAATTTTCTCTTATATACGTGATATTTTTTTTAATCTCTCCCCAGCTCCTACACCCTTTTTCACCCCTAATCCCATGATTTGAACCTTAAATTTGACCTTGAAAAAAATGTTTAATATCAAAACCTATTTTAGAACAAAATTATTATTCATTAATCAAATTTTCAAAATATAAACCTTTCTAATTTTGAATTTGTGGAGTACCTAATAAGATTAATCTTGTATACATTAACAGTTATGAATATGTGTCACATATATAAGAATTGAAGTTCAAATTCAAAACGGGATCACGTAACATGCATCCATATCAGTTAGTATATACACGGTCTGTATATATAAAATTAAGCTTACCTAATATTGTAGTGATTCAATTTGCCAATTATTTGATTCATATTTATTTTTATTCCTCGAAACCCTAATATCATATGATTGACATTTGCTATTGCCCTAGAGATTGTTCCAATTTAGATTCTAGTATAAGAAACAAATGTTGATGAGTGTCTTATAGATAGCTATGTGTGCGCGTAGGGATGGCAACGGGGGCGGGGGGAATTTTTTCCCCCATTTAGAAAGGGGGCGGGGCCGCCACCCGTTTGAAAATATACATATATATGTACATAATTATATATATATAAAATGATATTATCAATTATACTATTAATTATACATGTCTATTAATAAAAATTATTAATTATTTATACTAAATTTATTAATACATGTATGTTAAATTCCTAACTACACTTAATACAATAACACTTTTTTTCTAAAAAAAATACAATAATAATTTAATGATTGTATTTGTATCAAAAGTGAAAACTTGATTATTTTAGTTATATTTGTTTTATCATATTAGATTGTATTCAAATAACCTTTGTTTAATTATTTTTATGAGTTTCAATTGTAAAGTTACAATGAATAATAATTTAGTGATGTGTTGATATTTTAGTATTTGATTATTTGCTCAAATTTAATTATAATGAAATTATATAATAAAATTTTTTTAACCCCACGGGTGCTCCCGCAGGGGAAGCGAGGCGAGACGGGGCGGGGGCGGAGGGAATTAAAATGCAACGAGACGGGGGTTGGGGGAGGTGTCCCCCGCCCCATTGCCACCCCTATGTGCGCGTGCGTGCATGCACATTTAATTTTTTGAAGGACAAACAAACCAAAAACGTTAATAAACAGAATATTGTATCAGGAAATGCCAAAGAAGATAGAGTAAATTTTATATATATTGTCAGTGTATACACTATCAGGGTTGGATGGATGACACATGAGGAAATTTTGAATTTTAAATTCAAATTTTGCACATATGTCATATATCTAATGGTAATAGTATATACACTAACAGTGTATATAAAATTAATTCAAAAAGATATACTATTAAGGGTTATTATCACTTTACCTCCTTAAATTATACCACTACTATCAGTTTACCAAATAATGTTATCTTTTAATCATTTCACCCCCATAAGTAATTCAACTGAACATGTTAAGAAATTTTGGACAAAAATACCTTTTTATTCTATAACATTAGTACACTGTTGTTATTACGTTATTCCTTTAAATTATAGTGATATAATCGATTTAATTCTTAACATTATTTTATTGGCATTTTACTTCATCGTTAATCTAACTACTATGGTAAAAAAATTTTAATATATTTACCCTTATATATAATTAAAAATAAAAAATTTAGAATGATTATTTTTCTTTTTTTTCACTTTAAGAGATCAAAAAATATAAAAATAACAGGGTTTTCTCAAATTTCTTTTTTCACACTTATTAATACTATGAAAAGAAAAAGAGATAGGAAAGAAGGAGACGGAAAATTAGATTTTGCAAAGAAAAAAAAAGTCTAACATTATCGTATTAATTTAAGACTGTTGGGATTAAGATTGAAATCTGGTGGTAAACAGTAAAGTGAAATAATTTTAAAATAATAAAAGTATTTAATTCTTTCTTATTTGTATTTTCGAAAAAAAGAATTGAGCTCCCTCTCTCTCTCTATCTCTATCTCTCTCCCCCCCTCTCCCTTCCCTCATCCTGATCTTTCTATTTTTTTAATATTAATAAAATTGCCAAGAAGAAAGAAATTAATATTTTGACTTTTTTTCTTGATATTAAAGAGGAGAAGAGTCACTCTAAATTTTTTATTGTTTGTTATACAAAGAGGAGGGTACTTTCTTCTAAAATTTTTTAACTTGTTAAATTGGTTTAATGGTGGGATAAATTGTCTAAAAAATAAGTCTATGGGATAAATTAATAATGAGAGTATAGTTTATGAGGGTAAAATGATAATAACTTTAAGGGCTAAACTTATTTTTTTACTCTAATTAACAAACTCCGTTAAGTTTGACCGTTAGTCTTGAAGGTAAAGTGACTAAAAGATAACGTTAAGGGAAAAATTGATAGTGGCACCGAACGTTAAGGGGTAAAGTGATAATAACCCTACTATTAATCATTATTATTTCAAAGCTTCATTAACACTTGGACACATATTTTAGATAATATTTAGATAGTTTAATAGTAGTACTCTTCTTTGTTTTTTTTTTTTAAATTAAATTGAGCCAAGTCATGAAACCACTAATTACGGGCAATATATCGTCCATTCCTGGGGTGGATGAAAAGTGAAATTGGAGTCGCGATCGCCATAAATTCCCCCACCCCCCCGCCCCCCAAGTCAGGGACGACTAGCAATTCGACCACGTCATCCCCAAAAACATATAATTTTGTTTTAAAAAATTTTCATTACATTACAATATGCCCAGTACTTAAATTAAGCAGTCCCCGAAAATTATATATTATATAATAAAATTATAGCTGTAGTAATTATTTTTGTTATTTATCTCAACCATCAGATCTCACGGTTTTCGTTCTCTCTCGGTCCATCTCTCTCTGTGTCTGACTCTTATCTGTCCTCTTGGCTGGTGCGTCTGAGATTGAAATCCAAAGAGGTGCGCATTTTTATTTCCGTTCAGATCCATATCTTCAATCTTCTTACGCCTATATGATCGTCCCTTTCACAGTTAGGCTTTTTTCTCCGAACTTGAATACAATCTTCTGAGTTTATTTTGTTTGCGCTGGAATTTTGCGATTTCAATTAAGAATTTGTACCGTTTTGTAGCCAATCTGGACGAACTTGCTTGTTTGTTTTGTTTCTAATCGTCATATGTTGTTCTGTAAAACTTGCTAATTGATCTGATAAGTCAGAACAAATGAGTTTCAGTTCACTGTACTTCGTCCTTGATTCTTTCGTTTCGTTTTCAGGTTTTTTTTTTTTTTTTTTTAAATTTTGTGGCTGACTTTTCGGTTTTAATATATAGCATGGGCGTGGCACAAAACAATATCGATATGGAGGAGGGAAC